ATCTACTCTGTCTCTATAGCTTTGCCTCTTTCATACAAATGGATTCATGTAAATTGTGGGCTTTTGTGACTGGCTCCTTTGACTTAGCATAACGTATCCAGGTGTATCCGTGTTGTAGCCGAACCTCATTCCCTTTTTTTGCCCAATGCTAGTCCATCATGTGGATGTATCACATTTGGTTTATCAACTGACGTCCATCAACTGACAGATGGTTTCCGCTTTAGGCTGTTACGAATAATGCTGCTGTAAAAATGCACGTACAAATCTTTGCGTGGGCATAGTTTTCATTTCTCCGGAGTCTACACCTAGGAGTAGAATTGCTGGGTCATGAGGGGAGTCTATGTGTAAACTTGGAGGACCCTGCCAAACTGTTTCCACAGTAAAACAGCCAAATGTAACATGGCACAGCTGCCATGTTACATTCCCAGAAGCAATGCACCAGGGTTCCAGTTTCTCAGCATCCTTGAAGCGTCTTTCTTTTTTTAAGTGTATTTATTTGTTTTGAGAGAGAACAGGAGCTTGAGCGGGACAGCGGGAGAGAGAGGCGGAGAAAGAATCCCAAACAGGCTTCGTGCTGTCAGCACGGAACCCGACGTGGGGCTCAAACTCATCAACTATGAGATTGTGACCTGAACCGAAATCAAGAGTCAGATGCTTAACCGACTGAGTCACCCAGACGCCCCAATTCTTGAAACATCTTTAAACATTTGTAATTATCTGGGGCACCTGGGTGGCTCAGTCAGCTGAGCAACTGAGTTTGGCTCAGGTCATGACCTCACAGTTCGTGAGTTCAAGGCGCACCTCGGGCTCTCGCTGCTGTCAGCCTGTCAGCGCAGAGCCCGCTTCAAATCTTCTGTCCCCCTCTCCTGCGTGCGCTCTCTCAAAAATAAATAGCCATTAAAAAAAATTTGTAATTATCTGACTCTTGTGGTTGATTGGTTGGTTGGTTGGTTTTTTTCCTGGTGCCCAAGACTATTTAATGCACCCTCTGGTAGTTGGGCCAAAGAGAGACGGGGACGGGGACGGCGTTTTGGGGGAGGGGTGGCAATGGAGTTTCTTTTTGCATTTTGATCTTAACTGTAGCCACCTTGCTGAGCTTTGGTTAGTTTTAGCGTCTGTGTATTTGTTTGAATCACTGTGTGCACTCAGCCATACCCCTTGCAGATAGTGGTGGTATTATTTCTTCTGGGTCTTATACACGTAACTTCCTTTTCTTGTCCCACCAGCTAGGACTTCCAATATGGTGTTGAAGGAAGTGATGATAGAGACCTCTTTGAATTTCGTTCCTACTTTATTTTTTTTTTAATTTTTTTTTCAATGTTTATTTATTTTTTGGGGGACAGAGAGAGACAGAGCATGAACGGGGGAGGGGCAGAGAGAGAGGGAGACACAGAATCGGAAACAGGCTCCAGGCTCTGAGCCATCAGCCCAGAGCCCGACGCGGGGCTCGAACTCACGGACCGCGAGATCGTGACCTGGCTGAGGTCAGACGCTCAACCGACTGCGCCACCCAGGCGCCCCTCGTTCCTACTTTAAAGGGAACTTGTTTTGCTGGTGTGCCTGGACGGCTTGGCCGGTTGAGCATCCTGAGGCTCGGGTCATGATCTTACAAATCAATTCGTGAGTTCGAGCCCCGCATCGGGCTCTGCGCTGACAGCTCGGAGCCTGGAGCCTGCTTTGGATTCTGTGTCTCCCTCTCTCTCTCTGCCCCTCCCCCACTCGCCCTCTGTCTCTCTTTCAAAAATAAACATTAAAAAACGTTTTTTTTAAATAAAGGGCATTTGTTTTGCCATTGAGTTTCTAGTTGATAAACTTTCTGTATCCTTACAACACTTGTAATTATCCTTGTTATTTGTAGCAGCCTTCTAGTGGTATAAAGTGGCCTTTGCCCAGTGACTAAGGATGCTGAGCACCTTTTCATGTGCCTGTTAGCCATTTATCTACCTTCTTTGGAGAAATTCAGGTTTATGATTTGCAGATATTTTCCCCCCATACTTTTGTCTTTTCACTTTTCTTGATGGTATCCTTTGAGGCACAAAACTTTTTAATTTTGATGGAATCCATTGGTTCTGTTTTTTCTTTTGTTGCCTGTATCTTTGGTGTTGTATCTACGAAATTGTCTTCTCACTGAAGATCACAAAGATGGGGCACCAGGGTGGAGTCAGTCGGTTAAGCATCTGACTCTTTGTCTCTGCTCAGGTCATGATCTCACAGTTCGTGGGTTTGAGCCCCGAGTCAGGCTCTGTGCTGACGGAGCTGAGCCTGCTTGGGATTCTCTCTCTCCCTTTCTCTCTCCCCTCCCCTACTCGCACTGTCTCTGTCTCCCTCAAAATAAACTTTTTTTTTTTTTTCCAACGTTTATTTATTTTTGGGACAGAGAGAGACAGAGCATGAACGGGCGAGGGGCAGAGAGAGAGGGAGACACAGAATCGGAAACAGGCTCCAGGCTCCGAGCCATCAGCCCAGAGCCCGACGCGGGGCTCGAACTCACGGACCGCGAGATCGTAACCTGGCTGAAGTCGGACGCTTAACCGACTGCGCCACCCAGGTGCCCCTCCCTCAAAATAAACTTTAAAAAATTCCTTTAAAAAAAAAATATCACAGGGGCGCCTTCTTACCATTCTTGTCAGATGGCAATTGGCCATAAATGTGTGAGCTTTATTTCTGGATGCTCAATTCGATTCCATTGATTTATATGTCTGTCCTTATGCTAGTACTACCCTTTGTTGGTTCCAGTAGCCTTTCAGTAAGCTTTGAACTTGTGCAGTGAGTCTGTCAATATTTTTCTTGCTTTTCAAGACATTCACTTTTTAAATGTATGCCTTTAAGTCTCCTTTAACCTATCGTGTCCAAGATAGGTTTTTCCTTTGCACTTTATCTGTTGAAGAAACGGGGTTATTTGTGGATCGCCTCTCCATGGTGTCATTTAACATGTTCTTCTGTCCCTTGTGTTCTAGTAATCCAAAGGCATGATCTGATTTAGATTTGGTTTTAGCACAGGAATAATTTGCAGGAGGTGTGTGTGTTTTCAGAGTCAGCACAAAATGTGGGGTTGACTCTCCCTGTGATGTTAGGGGCCATCCATGATCTTCCCCTGGATCTTTTTTTTTCATTAGAGGTAATTTACATTTTGAAAGGGTCACTCTGACTGCTGGGGATGGAGGAGTTGTAGGTGTGAGAGATAATCATGCAAAAAAGCACTTGTGGGGCTCCTGGGTGGCTCAGTCAGTTAAGCATCCAACTTTGGCTCAGTTCATGATCTCACGGTTTATGAGTTTGAGCCCTGCATCAGGCTCTGTGCTGACAGTGCAGAGCCTGCTTGGGATTCTCTCTCTCTTCCTGTCTCTCTGTCCCTTCCCCACTTGTGCTTTCTCTCTCTCAAAATAAATAAATAAACTTAGGGGCGCCTGGGTGGCTCATTCGGTTGAGCGTCCGACTTCAGCTTGGGTCATGATCCCACAGTTGACGAGTTCAAGCCCCTCATCGGACTCTGTGCTGACAGCTCAGAGCCTGGAGCCTGCTTCTGATTCTATGTCTCCCTCTCTCTCTGCCTCTCCCCTGCTCATGCTCTGTCTCTCTCTGTCTCAAAAATAAAGGTAAACATTTAAAAAAATTTTTTTAAGAAATAAATAAGTAAACTTTAAAAAAAAAAAAAGCACTTGTTGCCACACCTCGCACACAGTGACCACTCAGTAAAATTGCCCTTACTGTTGTTGTTGTTGTTGTTGTTGTTGTTGTTAGAGCTCTGTGTGTGGGACCCACGTCCTGGGCTCGGAGCCATTTTCTGGCCAGAGCATTCTCCTCCCTCTCTTCTGCCCCTGGAGGGGAAGTTGCCAGTGTCCCGAGGCTCTGGGAGGCATGTTCAGGAATGCGGCAGCCATCTCTTTACAGCTGACGGGGCCCCTCCAGAGAAAGAAGGCTGGAACATCTGTCACTCGGTGCTTGCACCAGACTGTAAGTGCTCCAGCCCTGTGTGATTTGCCACTTAACCCGGGGCCCCTGGGATCTGGCCTGGTCCTGGCTTCAGAGCTGTGCATGAGCTTCCTCTTTCAGTAAGCCTTCTTGGACTGCAGCCTGGCTGGGGACCCCTCTCTTGCTCTTGCCTCTAATGTAGAACTCAGAGCTTTGCATCTGAACAGTCTGCATTGTGCGGCTGCCTCCCCATCATCCCCGGAGCCCAGCCCCGGGTTCGGGTTCGGGACGAGGTAGGTGCTCAATCGACATTGGCCGAGGAATACGTTATGCAGAAGTCCAAGCAAGAACAGGCACTGTTTCCACACTTACGCAGTTACCGTCTGACATCCTTGCAGGTCATGCCTTTGCCCTCCCAAGTTTCCGTGGTTCCCCCATTATTTTTATCTCCTTGAACCCATTCAACTCCATTCACCTCTTCTGTACTCTCTCTCTCTCTATGCCCCTCCACCCCCTACTCCATACCCCACCTCAAACTTCCCTGAAGTCCACTTTCTGTCCCCCACCGCCACCCCAACTCATCTTTGTTCTGTTTTTTTAAGAAATTAAAAAAAAATTTTTAATGTTTATTTTTGACAGAGAGAGACAGACACGAGTGGGGGAGGGGCAGAGAGAGAGGGAAACACAGAATCCGAAGCAGGCTCCAGGCTGTCAGCACAGAGCCCAACGTGGGGCTCGAACTCACGAACTGTGAGATGATGCCCCGAGCCGAAGTCGGACACTCAACCGACGGAGCCATCCAGGCGCCCCCCAAACTCTTTTTTTATCTATTCGTACATGGTCACAGAAAAGTGTATGTATATGCAAATATATATTAGGGGACATCTTTTACAAAACACAATTACATACCGCACATGCTGTTT